TTGCATGTCTGAGCTTGCCTCCAACACCGCACGAAGATGGGAAGCCAACTGTTGCTGGCTCTTGATGCGGTGCTTAGGTCATGCAATAACACCTCTTGATGAGTCGGAACCATCGGCTGTGCCGAAATGACAGCTCCAAGTCGTGTACTACACGTTGTTCACTCGTTGCCCATGTCTGGTTGCATGTCTGGTTGCATGTATGTGCTTGCATCCAACATCGCACGAAGATGGGAAGCGCAACTGCTGCTGGGTCTTGATGCGGTGCTTAGGTCATGCAAAAACACCTCTTGATGAGTCGGAACCATCGGCTGTACCGAAATCATAGCTCCAAGTCGTGTACTACACGTTGTTCACTCAAGCTGCCCGCGTGTCTGGTTGCATGTCTGGTTGCATGTCTGCGTTGCATCCAACACCGCACGAAGATGGTGCAACTGCTGCTGGGTCTTGATGCGGGTGCTTCAGTCATGCAATAACACCATTCAAATGAGTCAGAATCATCAGCTGCGCCGAAATGACAGCTCCAGCCCGTGTACCGCATCGCTGTTCACTGTTGCCGCCCCAAAAAGCATGTCTGGTTGCATGTCTGTGCTTGCATCCAATACCGCACGAAGATGGGAAGCGCAACTGTTGCTGGGTCTTGATGCGGTGTGCTGGGGTCATGCAACAACACCATCTTTACGAGTCGGAACCATCGGCTGTGCCGAAATGACAGCTCCAAGTCGTGTACTACACGTTGTTCACTCGTTGCCCATGTCTGGTTACATGTCTGGTTGCATGTCTGTGCTTGCATCAACACCGCACGAAGATGGGAAGCGCAACTGTTGCTGGCTCTGATGCGGTGCTTAGGTCATTCGATAACACCATTCATTTGAGTCGGAATCATCAGCTGTGCCGAAATGACAGCTCCAGTTCGTGTACTACACGTTGTTCACTCGTTGCCCATGTCTGGTTGCATGTCTGTGCTTGCATCCAACACCGCACGAAGATGGGAAGCGCAACTGTTGCTGGCTCTTGATGCGGTGCTTAGATCATTCGATAACACCATTCATTTGAGTCAGAATCATCAGCTGCGCCGAAACGACAGCTCCAATTCGTGTACTACACGTTGTTCACTCGTTGCCCATGTCTGGTTGCATGTCTGGTTGCATGTCTGTGCTTGCATCCAACACCGCACGAAGATGGGAAGCGCAACTGCTGCTGGCTCTTGATGCGGTGCTTAGGTCACGCAATAACACCATTCATTTGAGTCGGAATCATCAGCTGTGCCGAAATGACAGCTCCAGTTCGTGTACTACACGTTGTTCACTCGTTGCCCATGTCTGGTTGCATGTCTGGTTGCATGTCTGTGCTTGCATCCAACACCGCACGAAGATGGGAAGCGCAACTGTTGTTGGATCCTGGTGCGGTGCTTAGGTCATGCAATAACACCATTCAATTGAGTCGGAATCATCAGCTGTGCCGAAATGACAGCTCCAGTTCGTGTACTACACGTTGTTCACTCGTTGCCCATGTCTGGTTGCATGTCTGGTTGCACGTCTGTGCTTGCATCCAACACCGCACGAAGATGGGAAGCGCAACTGTTGCTGGGTCTTGATGTGGTGCTTAGGTCATGCAATAACACCATTCAATTGAGTCGGAATCATCAGCTGTGCCGAAATGACAGCTCCAGTTCGTGTACTACACGTTGTTCACTCGTTGCCCATGTCTGGTTGCATGTCTGGTTGCATGTCTGTGCTTGCATCCAACACCGCACGAAGATGGGAAGCGCAACTGTTGCTGGGTCTTGATGCGGTGCTTAGGTCATGCAATAACACCATTCAATTGAGTCGGAATCATCAGCTGTGCCGAAATGACAGCTCCAGTTGGTGTACTACACGTTGTTCACTCGTTGCCCATGTCTGGCTGCATGTCTGGTTGCATGTCTGTGCTTGCATCCAACACCGCACGAAGATGGGAAGCGCAACTGTTGCTGGGTCTTGATGCGGTGCTTAGGTCACCATTCAATTGAGTCGGAATTATCGGCTGTGCCGAAATGACAGCTCCTGTTCGTGTACTACACGTTGTTCACTCGTTGCCCATGTCTGGCTGCATGTCTGGTTGCATGTCTGTGCTTGCATCCAACACCGCACGAAGATGGAAAAGCGCAACTGTTGCTGGGTCTTGATGCGGCGCCTAGGTCATGCAATAACACCATTCAATTGAGTCGGAACCATCAGCTGTGCCGAAATGACAGCTCCAGTTCGTGTACTACACGTTGTTCACTCGTTGCCCATGTCTGGTTGCATGTCTGGTTGCATGTCTGTGCTTGCATCCAACACCGCACGAAGATGGGAAGCGCAACTGTTGCTGGCTCTTGATGCGGTGCTTAGGTCATGCAATAACACCATTCAATTGAGTCGGAATCATCAGCTGTGCCGAAATGACAGCTCCAGTTCGTGTACCGCACGTTGTTCACTCGTTGCCCATGCTGGTTGCATGTCTGGTTGCATGTCTGTGCTTGCATCCAACACCGCACGAAGATGGGAAGCGCAACTGTTGCTGGCTCTTGATGCGGTGCTTAGGTCATTCGATAACACCATTCAATTGAGTCGGATCATCAGCTGTGCCGAAATGACAGCTCAGTTCGTGTCCTACACGTTGTTCACTCGTTGCCCATGTCTGGTTGCATGTCTGGTTGCATGTCTGTGCTTGCATCCAACACCGCACGAAGATGGGAAGCGCAACTGCTGCTGGGTCTTGATGCGGTGCTTAGGTCATGCAATAACACCATTTAATTGAGTCGGAATCATCAGCTGTGCCGAAATGACAGCTCCAGTTCGTGTACTACACGTTGTTCACTCGTTGCCCATGTCTGGTTGCATGTCTGGTTGCATGTCTGTGCTTGCATCCAACACCGCACGAAGATGGGAAGCGCAACTGTTGCTGGCTCTTGATGCGGTGCTTAGGTCATTCAATAACACCCTTCATTTGAGTCGGAATCATCAGCTGTGCCGAAATGACAGCTCCAGTTCGTGTACTGCACGTTGTTCACTCGTTGCCCATGTCTGGTTGCATGTCTGGTTGCATGTCTGTGCTTGCATCCAACACCGCACGAAGATGGGAAGCGCAACTGTTGCTGGGTCTTGATGCGGTGCTTAGGTCACGCAATAACACCATTCAATTGAGTCGGAATCATCAGCTGTGCCGAAATGACAGCTCCAGTTCGTGTATCGCACGTTGTTCACTCGTTGCCCATGTCTGGTTGCATATCTGGTTGCATGTCTGTGCTTGCATCCAACACCGCACGAAGATGGGAAGCGCAACTGTTGCTGGCTCTTGATGTGGTGCTTAGGTCATGCAATAACACCATTCAATTGAGTCGGAATCATCAGCTGTGCCGAAGTGACAGCTCCAGTTCGTGTACTGCACGTTGTTCACTCGTTGCCCATGTCTGGTTGCATGTCTGGTTGCATGTCTGTGCTTGCATCCAACACCGCACGAAGATGGGAAGCGCAACTGTTGCTGGGTCTTGATGCGGTGCTTAGGTCATGCAATAACACCATTCAATTGAGTCGGAATCATCAGCTGTGCCGAAATGACAGCTCCAGTTCGTGTACTACACGTTGTTCACTCGTTGCCCATGTCTGGTTGCATGTCTGGTTGCATGTCTGTGCTTGCATCCAACACCGCACGAAGATGGGAAGCGCAACTGTTGCTGGCTCTTGATGCGGTGCTTAGGTCATGCAATAACACCATTCAATTGAGTCGGAATCATCAGCTGTGCCGAAATGACAGCTCCAGTTCGTGTACCACACGTTGTTCACTCGTTGCCCATGTCTGGTTGCATGTCTGGTTGCATGTCTGTGCTTGCATCCAACACCGCACGAAGATGGGAAGCGCAACTGTTGCTGGGTCTTGATGCGGTGCTTAGGTCATGCAATAACACCATTCAATTGAGTCGGAATCATCAGCTGTGCCGAAATGACAGCTCCAGTTCGTGTACCGCACGTTGTTCACTCGTTGCCCATGTCTGGTTGCATGTCTGGTTGCATGTCTGTGCTTGCATCCAACACCGCACGAAGATGGGAAGCGCAACTGTTGCTGGCTCTTGATGCGGTGCTTAGGTCATGCAATAACACCATTCAATTGAGTCGGAATCATCAGCTGTGCCGAAATGACAGCTCCAGTTCGTGTACTACACGTTGTTCACTCGTTGCCCATGTCTGGTTGCATGTCTGGTTGCATGTCTGTGCTTGCATCCAACACCGCACGAAGATGGGAAGCGCAACTGTTGCTGGGTCTTGATGCGGTGCTTAGATCATGCAATAACACCATTCAATTGAGTCGGAATCATCAGCTGTGCCGAAATGACAGCTCCAGTTCGTGTACCGCACGTTGTTCACTCGTTGCCCATGTCTGGTTGCATGTCTGGTTGCATGTCTGTGCTTGCATCCAACACCGCACGAAGATGGGAAGCGCAACTGCTGCTGGCTCTTGATGCGGTGCTTAGATCATGCAATAACACCATTCAATTGAGTCGGAATCATCAGCTGTGCCGAAATGACAGCTCCAGTTCGTGTACTACACGTTGTTCACTCGTTGCCCATGTCTGGTTGCATGTCTGGTTGCATGTCTGTGCTTGCATCCAACACCGCACGAAGATGGGAAGCGCAACTGTTGCTGGGTCTTGATGCGGTGCTTAGGTCACGCAATAACACCATTCAATTGAGTCGGAATCATCAGCTGTGCCGAAATGACAGCTCCAGTTCGTGTACCGCACGTTGTTCACTCGTTGCCCATGTCTGGTTGCATGTCTGGTTGCATGTCTGTGCTTGCATCCAACACCGCACGAAGATGGGAAGCGCAACTGCTGCTGGGTCTTGATGCGGTGCTTAGGTCATGCAATAACACCATTCAATTGAGTCGGAATCATCAGCTGTGCCGAAATGCCAGCTCCAGTTCGTGTCCCGCACGTTGTTCACTCGTTGCCCATGTCTGGTTGCATGTCTGGTTGCATGTCTGGTTGCATTAGTTGCATCCCAACACCGCACGAAGATGGGAAGCGCAACTGCTGCTGGCTCTTGATGCGGTGCTTAGGTCATGCAATAACACCATTCAATTGAGTCGGAATCATCCGGCCGTGCCGAAATGATAGCTTCAGTTCGTGTACCGTACGTTGTTCACTCGTTTACCATGTCTGGTTGCATGTCTGGTTGCATGTCTGTGCTTGCATCCAACACCGCACGAAGATGGGAAGCGCAACTGCTGCTGGCTCTGATGCGGTGCTTAGGTCATGCAATAACACCATTCAATTGAGTCGGAATCATCAGCTGTGCCGAAATGACAGCTCCAGTTCGTGTACCGCACGTTGTTCACTCGTTGCCCATGTCTGGTTGCATTTCTGGTTGCATGTCTGTGCTTGCATCAACACCGCATGAAGATGGGAAGCGCAACTGTTGCTGGCTCTTGATGCGGTGCTTAGGTCATTCGATAACACCATTCAATTGAGTCGGAATCATCAGCTGTGCCGAAATGACAGCTCCAGTTCGTGTACCGCACGTTGTTCACTCGTTGCCCATGTCTGGTTGCATGTCTGGTTGCATGTCTGTGCTTGCATCCGACACCGCACGAAGATGGGAAGCGCAACTGTTGCTGGCTCTTGATGCGGTGCGAATGGTGCACAACACCATTCAATTGAGTCGGAATCATCAGCTGTGCCGAAATGACAGCTCCAGTTCGTGTACTACACGTTGTTCACTCGTTGCCCATGTCTGGCTGTACGTCTGGTTGCATGTCTGTGCTTGCATCCAACACCGCACGAAGATGGGAAGCGCAACTGTTGCTGCTCTTGATGCGGGTGCTTAGATCATGCAATAACACCATTCAATTGAGTCGGAAATCATCACAGCCTAAACACGGCTCCAGTTCGTGTACCGCACGTTGTTCACTCGTTGCCCATGTCTGGTTGCATGTCTGGTTGCATGTCTGGTTGCATGTCTGTGCTTGCATCCAACACCGCACGAAGATGGGCGCAACTGTTGTTGGCTCTTTGATGCGGTGCTTAGGGTCATGCAATAACACCATTCAATTGAGTGCCGGAATTATCGAAGGCCGTGCCGAAATGACAGCTCCAGTTCGTGTACCGCACGTTGTTCACTCGTTGCCCATGTCTGGTTGCATGTCTGGTTGCATGTCTGTGCTTGCATCCGACACCGCACGAAGATGGGAAGCGCAACTGTTGCTGGCTCTTGATGCGGTGCTTAGGTCACGTAATAACACCATTCAATTGAGTCGGAAGTATCAGCTGTGCCGAAATGACAGCTCCAGTTCGTGTACCGCACGTTGTTCACTCGTTGCCCATGTCTGGTTGCATGTCTGGTTGCATGTCAGTGGTTGCATCCAACACCGCATGAAGATGGGAAGCGCAACTGTTGCTGGCTCTTGATGCGGTGCTTAGGTCATGCAATAACACCATTCAATTGAGTCGGAAGCATCGGCGCAGCTGAAATGACAGCTCCAGTTCGTGTACCGCACGTTGTTCACTCGTTGCCCATGTCTGGTTGCATGTCTGGCTGCATGTCTGTGCTTGCATCCGACACCGCACGAAGATGGGAAGCGCAACTGTTGCTGGCTCTTGATGCGGTGCTTAGGTCATGCAATAACACCATTCAATTGAGTCGGAATCATCAGCTGTGCCGAAATGACAGCTCCAGTTCGTGTACCACGTTGTTCACTCGTTGCCCATGTCTGGTTGCATGTCTGGTTGCATGTCTGTGCTTGCATCCAACACCGCACGAAGATGGGAAGCGCAACTGTTGCTGGCTCTTGATGCGGTGCTTAGGTCATTCAATAACACCATTCAATTGAGTCGGAATCATCAGCTGTGCCGAAATGACAGCTCCAGTTCGTGTACCGCACGTTGTTCACTCGTTGCCCATGTCTGGTTGCATGTCTGGTTGCATGTCTGTGCTTGCATCCAACACCGCACGAAGATGGGAAGCGCAACTGTTGCTGGCTCTTGATGCGGTGCTTAGGTCATGCAATAACACCATTCAATTGAGTCGGAATCATCAGCTGTGCCGAAATGACAGCTCCAGTTCGTGTACCGCACGTTGTTCACTCGTTGCCCATGTCTGGTTGCATGTCTGGTTGCATGTCTGTGCTTGCATCCAACACCGCACGAAGATGGGAAGCGCAACTGTTGCTGGCTCTTGATGCGGTGCTTAGGTCATGCAATAACACCATTCAATTGAGTCGGAATCATCAGCTGTGCCGAAATGACAGCTCCAGTTCGTGTACTACACGTTGTTCACTCGTTGCCCATGTCTGGTTGCATGTCTGGTTGCATGTCTGTGCTTGCATCCAACACCGCACGAAGATGGGAAGCGCAACTGTTGCTGGCTCTTGATGCGGTGCTTAGGTCATGCAATAACACCATTCAATTGAGTCGGAATCATCAGCTGTGCCGAAATGACAGCTCCAGTTCGTGTACTACACGTTGTTCACTCGTTGCCCATGTCTGGTTGCATGTCTGGTTGCATGTCTGTGCTTGCATCCAACACCGCACGAAGATGGGAAGCGCAACTGTTGCTGGCTCTTGATGCGGTGCTTAGGTCATTCGATAACACCATTCAATTGAGTCGGAATCATCAGCTGTGCCGAAATGACAGCTCCAGTTCGTGTACTACACGTTGTTCACTCGTTGCCCATGTCTGGTTGCATGTCTGGTTGCATGTCTGTGCTTGCATCCAACACCGCACGAAGATGGGAAGCGCAACTGTTGCTGGCTCTTGATGCGGTGCTTAGGTCATGCAATAACACCATTCAATTGAGTCGGAATCATCAGCTGTGCCGAAATGACAGCTCCAGTTCGTGTACCGCACGTTGTTCACTCGTTGCCCATGTCTGGTTGCATGTCTGTGCTTGCATCCAACACCGCACGAAGATGGGAAGCGCAACTGTTGCTGGCTCTTGATGCGGTGCTTAGATCATTCAATAACACCATTCAATTGAGTCGGAATCATCAGCTGTGCCGAAATGACAGCTCCAGTTCGTGTACTACACGTTGTTCCCTCGTTGCCCATGTCTGGTTGCATGTCTGGTTGCATGTCTGTGCTTGCATCCAACACCGCACGAAGATGGGAAGCTGCCCCTGTTAAGAGTTGGAGGTGATGCGGTGCTTAGGTCATGCAATAACACCATTCAATTGAGTCGGAATCATCAGCTGTGCCGTGAAACCTGACAGCTCTCAGTTCGTGTATTGCCCGTTGTTCACTCGTTGCCCATGTCTGGTTGCATGTCTGGTTGCATGTCTGTGCTTGCATCCAACACCGCACGAAGATGGGAAGCGCAACTGTTGCTGGGTCTTGATGCCGGTGCTTAGGTCACGCAATAACACCATTCATTTTGAGTCCGAATCTATCTAGCTGTGCCGAAATGACAGCTCCTTGTTCGTGTACTACACGTTGTTCACTCGTTGCCCATGTCTGGCTGCATGTCTGGTTGCATGTCTGTGCTGCATCCAACACCACACGAAGATGGGAAGTGCAACTATTTTCGGCTCTTGATGCGGTGCTTAGGTCATTCGATAACACCATTCATTTGAGTCGGAATTATCGGCTGTGCCGAAGACGGCTCCTGTTCGTGTACTACGCGTTGTTCACTCGTTGCCCATGTCTGGTTGCATATCTGGTTGCATGTCTGTGCTTGCATCCAACACCCGCACGAAGATGGGAAGCGCAACTGTTGCTGGCTCTTGATGCGGTGCTTAGGTCACCCAATAGCACCATTCGATGAGTTGGAATTATCAGCTGTGCCGAAATGACAGCTCCCAGTTCGTGTACTTACGTTGTTCACTCGTTGCCCATGTCTGGTTGCATGTCTGGTTGCATGTCTGTGCTTGCATCCAACACCGCACGAAGATGGGAAGCGCAACTGTTGCTGGCTCTTGATGCGGTGCTTAGGTCACGTCAATAACACCATTCAATTGAGTTGGAATTATCAGCTTGTGCCGAAATGACAGCTCCAGTTCGTGTACTCGCACGTTGTTCACTCGTTACCCATGTCTGGTTGCATGTCTGGTTGCATGTCTGTGGTTGCATCCAACACCGCACGAAGATGGGAAGTGCAACTGTTGCTGGCTCTTGATGCGGTGCTTGGTCACGCAATAACACCATTCATTTAAGTCGGAATTATCAGCTGTGCCGAAATGACAGCTCCAAGTCGTGTACTGCGCGTTGTTCACTCGTTGCCCATGTCTGGTTGCATGTCTGGTTGCATGTCTGTGCTTGCATCCAACACCGCACGAAGATGGGAAGGCGCAACTGTTGCTGGCTCTTGATGCGGTGCTTAGGTCACGCAATAACACCATTAATTGAGTCGGAATTATCAGCTGTGCCGAAATGACAGCTCCAAGTCGTGTACTACATGTTGTTCACTCGTTGCCCATGTCTGGCTGCATGTCTGGTTGCATGTCTGTGCTTGCATCCAGCACCGCACGAAGATGGGAAGCGCAACTGTTGCTGGGTCTTGATGCGGTGCTTAGGTATGCAATAACACCATTCAATTGAGTCGGAATCATCAGCTGTGCCGAAATGACAGCTCCAGTTCGTGTACTACACGTTGTTCACTCGTTGCCCATGTCTGGTTGCATGTCTGGTTGCATGTCTGTGCTTGCATCCAACACCGCACGAAGATGGGAAGCGCAACTGTTGCTGGCTCTTGATGCGGTGCTTAGGTCATGCAATAACACCATTCAATTGAGTCAGAATCATCAGCTGCGCCGAAATGACAGCTCCAGTTCGTGTACTACACGTTGTTCACTCGTTGCCCATGTCTGGTGCACGTCTGGTTGCATGTCTGTGCTTGCATCCAACACCGCACGAAGATGGGAGGCGCAACTGTTGCTGGCTCTTGATGCGGTGCTTAGGTCATGCAATAACACCATTCAATTGAGTCGGAATCATCAGCTGTGCCGAAATGACAGCTCAGTTCGTGTACTGCACGTTGTTCACTCGTTGCCCATGTCTGGTTGCATGTCTGGTTGCATGTCTGTGCTTGCATCCGACACCGCACGAAGATGGGAAGCGCAACTGTTGCTGGCTCTTGACTGCGGTGCTTAGGTCATTCGATAACACCATTCAATTGAGTCGGAATCATCAGCTGTGCCGAAATGACAGCTCCAGTTCGTGTACTGCACGTTGTTCACTCGTTGCCCATGTCTGGTTGCATGTCTGGTTGCATGTCTGTGCTTGCATCCAACACCGCACGAAGATGGGAAGCGCAACTGTTGCTGGCTCTTGATGCGGCGCTTAGATCCATTCAATAACACCATTCAATTGAGTCGGAATCATCAGCTGTGCCGAAATGACAGCTCCAGTTCGTGTACTGCACGTTGTTCACTCGTTGCCCATGTCTGGTTGCATGTCTGGTTGCATGTCTGTGCTTGCATCCAACACCGCACGAAGATGGGAAGCGCAACTGTTGCTGGCTCTTGATGCGGTGCCTAGGTCACGCAATAACACCATTCAATTGAGTCGGTATCATCAGCTGTGCCGAAATGACAGCTCCAGTTCGTGTACTACACGTTGTTCACTCGTTGCTTATGTCTGGTTGCATGTCTGGTTTTGCATGTCTGTGCTTGCATCCAACACCGCGCAAAGATGGGAAGCGCAACTGTTGCTGGGTCTTGATGCGGTGCTTAGGTCATGCAATAACACCATTCAATTGAGTCGGAATCATCAGCTGTGCCGAAATGACAGCTCCAGTTTCGTGTACCGCACGTTGTTCACTCGTTGCCCATGTCTGGTTGCATGTCTGGTTGCATGTCTGTGCCTTGCCATCCAACACCGCACGAAGATGGGAAGCGCAACTGTTGCTGGCTCTTGATGCGGTGCTTAGGTCACTTCGATAACACCATTCAATTGAGTCGGAATCATCAGCTGTGCCGAAATGACAGCTCCAGTTCGTGTACTACACGTTGTTCACTCGTTGCCCATGTCTGGTTGCATGTCTGGTTGCATGTCTGTGCTTGCATCCAACACCGCACGAAGATGGGAAGCGCAACTGTTGCTGGCTCTTGATGCGGTGCTTAGGTCATGCAATAACACCCCATTCAATTGAGTCGGAATCATCAGCTGTGCCGAAATGACAGCTCCAGTTCGTGTACTCACGTTGTTCACTCGTTGCCCATGTCTGGTTGCATGTCTGGTTGCATGTCTGTGCTTGCATCCGACACCGCACGAAGATGGGAAGCGCAACTGTTGCTGGGTCTTGATGCGGTGCTTAGATCATTCGATAACACCATTCATTTGAGTCGGAATCATCAGCTGTGCCGAAATGACAGCTCCAGTTCGTGTACTACACGTTGTTCACTCGTTGCCCATGTCTGGTTGCATGTCTGGTTGCATGTCTGTGCTTGCATCCAACACCGCACGAAGATGGGAAGCGCAACTGTTGCTGGGTCTTGATGCGGTGCTTAGGTCATGCAATAACACCATTCAATTGAGTCGGAATCATCAGCTGTGCCGAAATGACAGCTCCAGTTCGTGTACTGCACGTTGTTCACTCGTTGCCCATGTCTGGTTGCATGTCTGGTTGCATGTCTGTGCTTGCATCCGACACCGCACGAAGATGGGAAGCGCAACTGTTGCTGGCTCTTGATGCGGTGCTTAGATCATTCGATAACACCATTCATTTGAGTCGGAATCATCAGCTGTGCCGAAATGACAGCTCCAGTTCGTGTACTACACGTTGTTCACTCGTTGCCCATGTCTGGTTGCATGTCTGGTTGCATGTCTGTGCTTGCATCCGACACCGCACGAAGATGGGAAGCGCAACTGTTGCTGGCTCTTGATGCGGTGCTTAGGTCATTCGATAACACCATTCAATTGAGTCGGAATCATCAGCTGTGCCGAAATGACAGCTCCAGTTCGTGTACCGCACGTTGTTCACTCGTTGCCCATGTCTGGTTGCATGTCTGGTTGCATGTCTGTGCTTGCATCCAACACCGCACGAAGATGGGAAGCGCAACTGTTGCTGGATCTTGATGCGGTGCTTAGGGTCATGCAATAACACCATTCAATTGAGTCGGAATCATCAGCTGTGCCGAAATGACAGCTCAGTTCGTGTACCGCACGTTGTTCACTCGTTGCCCATGTCTGGTTGCATGTCTGGTTTGCATGTCTGTGCTTGCATTCAACACCGCACAGAAGATGGGAGGCAACGTTGCTGGCTATTGATGCGGTGCTTAGGTCATGCACACACCATTCAATTGAGTCGGATTATCAGCTTGTGCCGAAATGACAGCTCCAGTTCGTGTACTACACGCTGTTCACTCGTTGCCCATGTCTGGCTGCATGTCTGGTTGCATGTCTGTCGCAGCATCCGACACGCCACGAGAATGGGAAGTGCAACTGTTGCTGGCTCTTGATGCGGTGCTTAGGTCATTCGATAACACCATTCAATTGAGTCGGAATCATCAGCTGTGCCGAAATGACAGCTTTAGTTCGTGTACCGCACGTTGTTCACTCGTTGCCCATGTCTGGTTGCATGTCTGGTTGCATGTCTGTGCTTGCGTCCAACACCGCACGAAGATGGGAAGCGCAACTGTTGCTGGCTCTTGATGCGGTGCTTAGATCATTCGATAACACCATTCATTTGAGTCGGAATCATCAGCTGTGCCGAAATGACAGCTCCAGTTCGTGTACTGCACGTTATTCGCTCGTTGCCCATGTCTGGTTGCATGTCTGGTTGCATGTCTGTGCTTGCATCCAACACCGCACGAAGATGGGAAGCGCAACTGTTGCTGGCTCTTGATGCGGTGCTTAGGTCACGCAATAACACCATTCAATTGAGTCGGAATTATCGGCTGTGCCGAAATGACAGCTCCTGTTCGTGTACTACACGTTGTTCACTCGTTGCCCATGTCTGGCTGCATGTCTGGTTGCATGTCTGTGCTTGCATCCGACACCGCACGAAGATGGGAAGCGCAACTGTTGCTGGCTCTTGATGCGGTGCTTAGGTCATGCAATAACACCATTCAATTGAGTCGGAATCATCAGCTGTGCCGAAATGACAGCTCCAGTTCGTGTACTACACGTTGTTCACTCGTTGCCCATGTCTGGTTGCATGTCTGGTTGCATGTCTGTGCTTGCATCCAACACCGCACGAAGATGGGAAGCGCAACTGTTGCTGGCTCTTGATGCGGTGCTTAGGTCATGCAATAACACCATTCAATTGAGTCGGAATCATCAGCTGTGCCGAAATGACAGCTCCAGTTCGTGTACCGCACGTTGTTCACTCGTTGCCCATGTCTGGTTGCATGTCTGGTTGCATGTCTGTGCTTGCATCCAACACCGCACGAAGATGGGAAGCGCAACTGTTGCTGGCTCTTGATGCGGTGCTTAGGTCATGCAATAACACCATTCAATTGAGTCGGAATCATCAGCTGTGCCGAAATGACAGCTCCAGTTCGTGTACTACACGTTGTTCACTCGTTGCCCATGTCTGGTTGCATGTCTGGTTGCATGTCTGTGCTTGCATCCAACACCGCACGAAGATGGGAAGCGCAACTGTTGCTGGCTCTTGATGCGGTGCTTAGGTCATTCAATAACACCATTCAATTGAGTCGGAATCATCAGCTGTGCCGAAATGACAGCTCCAGTTCGTGTACTACACGTTGTTCACTCGTTGCCCATGTCTGGTTGCATGTCTGGTTGCATGTCTGTGCTTGCATCCAACACCGCACGAAGATGGGAAGCGCAACTGTTGCTGGCTCTTGATGCGGTGCTTAGATCATTCAATAACACCATTCAATTGAGTCGGAATCATCAGCTGTGCCGAAATGACAGCTCCAGTTCGTGTACTACACGTTGTTCACTCGTTGCCCATGTCTGGTTGCATGTCTGGTTGCATGTCTGTGCTTGCATCCAACACCGCACGAAGATGGGAAGCGCAACTGTTGCTGGCTCTTGATGCGGTGCTTAGGTCATGCAATAACACCATTCAATTGAGTCGGAATCATCAGCTGTGCCGAAATGACAGCTCCAGTTCGTGTACTACACGTTGTTCACTCGTTGCCCATGTCTGGTTGCATGTCTGGTTGCATGTCTGTGCTTGCATCCAACACCGCACGAAGATGGGAAGCGCAACTGTTGCTGGCTCTTGATGCGGTGCTTAGGTCACGCAATAACACCATTCAATTGAGTCGGAATCATCAGCTGTGCCGAAATGACAGCTCCAGTTCGTGTACCGCACGTTGTTCACTCGTTGCCCATGTCTGGTTGCATGTCTGGTTGCATGTCTGTGCTTGCATCCAACACCGCACGAAGATGGGAAGCGCAACTGTTGCTGGCTCTTGATGCGGTGCTTAGGTCATGCAATAACACCATTCAATTGAGTCGGAATCATCAGCTGTGCCGAAATGACAGCTCCAGTTCGTGTACTACACGTTGTTCACTCGTTGCCCATGTCTGGTTGCATGTCTGGTTGCATGTCTGTGCTTGCATCCAACACCGCACGAAGATGGGAAGCGCAACTGTTGCTGGCTCTTGATGCGGTGCTTAGGTCATTCAATAACACCATTCAATTGAGTCGGAATCATCAGCTGTGCCGAAATGACAGCTCCAGTTCGTGTACCGCACGTTGTTCACTCGTTGCCCATGTCTGGTTGCATGTCTGGTTGCATGTCTGTGCTTGCATCCAACACCGCACGAAGATGGGAAGCGCAACTGTTGCTGGCTCTTGATGCGGTGCTTAGGTCATGCAATAACACCATTCAATTGAGTCGGAATCATCAGCTGTGCCGAAATGACAGCTCCAGTTCGTGTACTACACGTTGTTCACTCGTTGCCCATGTCTGGTTGCATGTCTGGTTGCATGTCTGTGCTTGCATCCAACACCGCACGAAGATGGGAAGCGCAACTGTTGCTGGCTCTTGATGCGGTGCTTAGGTCATGCAATAACACCATTCAATTGAGTCGGAATCATCAGCTGTGCCGAAATGACAGCTCCAGTTCGTGTACCGCACGTTGTTCACTCGTTGCCCATGTCTGGTTGCATGTCTGGTTGCATGTCTGTGCTTGCATCCAACACCGCACGAAGATGGGAAGCGCAACTGTTGCTGGCTCTTGATGCGGTGCTTAGGTCATGCAATAACACCATTCAATTGAGTCGGAATCATCAGCTGTGCCGAAATGACAGCTCCAGTTCGTGTACTACACGTTGTTCACTCGTTGCCCATGTCTGGTTGCATGTCTGGTTGCATGTCTGTGCTTGCATCCAACACCGCACGAAGATGGGAAGCGCAACTGTTGCTGGCTCTTGATGCGGTGCTTAGGTCATGCAATAACACCATTCAATTGAGTCGGAATCATCAGCTGTGCCGAAATGACAGCTCCAGTTCGTGTACCGCACGTTGTTCACTCGTTGCCCATGTCTGGTTGCATGTCTGGTTGCATGTCTGTGCTTGCATCCAACACCGCACGAAGATGGGAAGCGCAACTGTTGCTGGCTCTTGATGCGGTGCTTAGGTCATGCAATAACACCATTCAATTGAGTCGGAATCATCAGCTGTGCCGAAATGACAGCTCCAGTTCGTGTACTACACGTTGTTCACTCGTTGCCCATGTCTGGTTGCATGTCTGGTTGCATGTCTGTGCTTGCATCCAACACCGCACGAAGATGGGAAGCGCAACTGTTGCTGGCTCTTGATGCGGTGCTTAGGTCATGCAATAACACCATTCAATTGAGTCGGAATCATCAGCTGTGCCGAAATGACAGCTCCAGTTCGTGTACCGCACGTTGTTCACTCGTTGCCCATGTCTGGTTGCATGTCTGGTTGCATGTCTGTGCTTGCATCCAACACCGCACGAAGATGGGAAGCGCAACTGTTGCTGGCTCTTGATGCGGTGCTTAGGTCATGCAATAACACCATTCAATTGAGTCGGAATCATCAGCTGTGCCGAAATGACAGCTCCAGTTCGTGTACTACACGTTGTTCACTCGTTGCCCATGTCTGGTTGCATGTCTGGTTGCATGTCTGTGCTTGCATCCAACACCGCACGAAGATGGGAAGCGCAACTGTTGCTGGCTCTTGATGCGGTGCTTAGGTCATCAATAACACCATTCAATTGAGTCGGAATCATCAGCTGTGCCGAAATGACAGCTCCAGTTCGTGTACCGCACGTTGTTCACTCGTTGCCCATGTCTGGTTGCATGTCTGGTTGCATGTCTGTGCTTGCATCCAACACCGCACGAAGATGGGAAGCGCAACTGTTGCTGGCTCTTGATGCGGTGCTTAGGTCATGCAATAACACCATTCAATTGAGTCGGAATCATCAGCTGTGCCGAAATGACAGCTCCAGTTCGTGTACTACACGTTGTTCACTCGTTGCCCATGTCTGGTTGCATGTCTGGTTGCATGTCTGGTTGCATGTCTGTGCTTGCATCCAACACCGCACGAAGATGGGAAGCGCAACTGTTGCTGGCTCTTGATGCGGTGCTTAGGTCACGCAATAACACCATTCAATTGAGTCGGAATCATCAGCTGTGCCGAAATGACAGCTCCAGTTCGTGTACTACACGTTGTTCACTCGTTGCCCATGTCTGGTTGCATGTCTGGTTGCATGTCTGTGCTTGCATCCAACACCGCACGAAGATGGGAAGCGCAACTGTTGCTGGCTCTTGATGCGGTGCTTAGGTCATTCGAATAACACCATTCAATTGAGTCGGAATCATCAGCTGTGCCGAAATGACAGCTCCAGTTCGTGTACTACACGTTGTTCACTCGTTGCCCATGTCTGGTTGCATGTCTGGTTGCATGTCTGTGCTTGCATCCAACACCGCACGAAGATGGGAAGCGCAACTGTTGCTGGCTCTTGATGCGGTGCTTAGGTCATGCAATAACACCATTCAATTGAGTCGGAATCATCAGCTGTGCCGAAATGACAGCTCCAGTTCGTGTACCTACACGTTGTTCACTCGTTGCCCATGTCTGGTTGCATGTCTGGTTGCATGTCTGTGCTTGCATCCAACACCGCACGAAGATGGGAAGCGCAACTGTTGCTGGCTCTTGATGCGGTGCTTAGGTCATTCAATAACACCATTCAATTGAGTCGGAATCATCAGCTGTGCCGAAATGACAGCTCCAGTTCGTGTACTACACGTTGTTCACTCGTTGCCCATGTCTGGTTGCATGTCTGGTTGCATGTCTGTGCTTGCATCCAACACCGCACGAAGATGGGAAGCGCAACTGTTGTTGCTGGCTCTTGATGCGGTGCTTAGGTCATTCAATAACACCATTCAATTGAGTCGGAATCATCAGCTGTGCCGAAATGACAGCTCCAGTTCGTGTACTACACGTTGTTCACTCGTTGCATGTCCATGTCTGGTTGCATGTCTGTGCTTGCTTGCATCCAACACCGCACGAAGATGGGAAGCGCAACTGTTGCTGGGGTCTGATGCGGTGCTTAGGTCGCACACAATACCTGTTCCACTGAGTCGGATCATCAGCTGTGCCGGAAATGACAGCTCCGGTTCGTGTACTGCAATTCACTGCTCATGCCCACGTAAAAAAAATCGTGCTGCATCTCACCGCAACGAAGATGGGAAGCAACCGTTGCCGGCCTGGCTTAAAAGCTAGGCCACGCAATAACACCTCTCGAGAGCCGGAACCCTCTCTATCGGCTGTGAGAATGACAGCTCCAGTTCGTGTACTTAACGTTATTCACTGTTACCCATGTCTCTGGTTGCATGTCTGGTTGTCATGTCTGTGCTTGCAGTCCAACACCGCACCGAAGATGGGAAGCGCAACTGTTGCTGGCTCTTGATGCGGTGCTTAAATCACTCAATAACACCATTCAATTAATTCGGAATTATCGGCTGTGCCGAAATGTCAGCTCCTGTTCGTGATACTACACGTTGTTCACTCGTTGCCCATGTCTGGTTGCAGTTGCTCTGGTTGCATGTCTGTGCTTGCATCCAAACACCGCACATCTTAGGAAGTGCAACTGTTGCTGGCTCTTGATTTCAGGTGTTGATCATTCAATAACACCACTCAATTGAGTCGGAATCATCGCTGTGCCGAAATGACAGCTTTAGTTCGTGTACCGCACGTTGTTCTCGTAGCCCACTCCGGTTGCATGCTCTGGTTGCATGTCTGTGCTTGTATCCAGCACCGCACGAAGATGGGAAGCGCACTGTTGCTAGCTCTAGATGCGGTGCTTAGATCATTCGATAACACCATTCATTTTGAGTCAGAATCATCAGCTGTGCCGAAATGCAGCTCCAGTTCGTGTACTACACGTTATTCACTGTTGCCCATGTCTGGTTGCATGTCTGGTTGCATGTCTGTGCTGCATCCAGCACCGCACGAAGATGGGAAGCGCAACTGTTAAGCTGGCTCTTTGATGTGGTGCTTAGTCGCGCGAACACCTCTTTTGATGCCGGAACCATCGGCTGTGCCGCACGACAGCCCAGCTCGTGTAGCTGCACGTTGTTCTCAAATCACTCGTCTGGCTGCAGCTGCCCGGTTGTAATATTGTCTGTGGTTGTATCCAACACAACGAAGATGGGAAGCGCAACTGGTGCTGCGCGTAAGTTCTTTGATGCGGTGCTTAGGTCATGCAATACACCATTCAAAATTGAGTTTCCAAATCATCAGCTGTGCCGAAAATGAATAGCTCCAGTTCGTGTACCGCACGTTGAATCAGCTCGTTGTAAGTTCATGCTCTCGCTGCATGTCTGGTTGCATGTCTGTGCTTGCATCCAACACCGCACGAAGATGGGAAGCGCAACTGTTGCTGGCTCTTGATGCGGTGCTTAGGTCATTCAATAACACCATTCAATTGAGTCGGAATCATCAGCTGTGCCGAAATGACAGCTCCAGTTCGTGTACTACACGTTGTTCACTCGTTGCCCATGTCTGGTTGCATGTCTGGTTGCATGTCTGTGCTTGCATCCAACACCGCACGAAGATGGGAAGCGCAACTGTTGCTGGCTCTTGATGCGGTGCTTAGGTCATGCAATAACACCATTCAATTGAGTCGGAATCATCAGCTGTGCCGAAATGACAGCTCCAGTTCGTGTACCGCACGTTGTTCACTCGTTGCCCATGTCTGGTTGCATGTCTGGTTGCATGTCTGTGCTTGCATCCAACACCGCACGAAGATGGGAAGCGCAACTGTTGCTGGCTCTTGATGCGGTGCTTAGGTCACGCAATAACACCATTCAATTGAGTCGGAATCATCAGCTGTGCCGAAATGACAGCTCCAGTTCGTGTACTACACGTTGTTCACTCGTTGCCCATGTCTGGTTGCATGTCTGGTTGCATGTCTGTGCTTGCATCCAACACCGCACGAAGATGGGAAGCGCAACTGTTGCTGGCTCTTGATGCGGTGCTTAGGTCATTCATAACACCATTCAATTGAGTCGGAATCATCAGCTGTGCCGAAATGACAGCTCCAGTTCGTGTACCGCACGTTGTTCACTCGTTGCCCATGTCTGGTTGCATGTCTGGTTGCATGTCTGTGCTTGCATCCAACACCGCACGAAGATGGGAAGCGCAACTGTTGCTGGCTCTTGATGCGGTGCTTAGGTCATTCAATAACACCATTCAATTGAGTCGAATCATCAGCTGTGCCGAATGACATACCACTTCGTGTACTACACGTTGCTCACTCGTTGCCCATGTCTGCGCCAGCTGCCCGCCAGGCGTCTGGTTGCGGATGTCTGTGCTTGCATTCAACACCGCACGAAGATGGCTAGGCAACTGTTTGCTTGGCTCTTGATGCGGTGCTTAGGTCATTCGATAACACCATTCACCTGCCAGTTCGGAATTATCAGCTGCGCCGAAATGACAGCTCAAGTTGTGTACCGCACGTTGTTCACTCTGCGTTGCCCATGTCTTGGTTTTGCATGTCTGGTTGCATGTCAGTGGTTGCATCCAACACCGCAGGCTGAAGATCGGAAGCGCAACTGTTGCTGGCTCTTGATTCAGTGCGTAGGTCATGCAATAACACCATTTCAATTGAGTCGGAATCATTAGCTGTGCCGAAATGATAGCTCCAGTTCGTGTATCTACACGTTGTTCACCGTTCCATGTCTGTTGCATGTCTGGTTACATGTGTGGCTGTGTCTGTGCTTGCATCCGACACCGCACGAAGATGGAAAGGGTCTGCAACTGTTGCTGGCTCTTGATGGGGTGCTTAGGTCATGCAATAACACCTCTTGATGAGTCGGAACCATCAGCTGTGCCGAAATGATAGCTCCAGTTCGTGTACTGCACGTTGTTCACTAAGTGCTCATGTCTTGGTTACATGTCTGGTTTACGCCTTGTCTGTGCTTTTAGCATCCAACACCGCATATGAAGATGGGAAGCGCAACTGTTGCTGGCTCTTGGAATGCGGTAAGCTGCGGATCATTCGATAACACCATTCATTTGAGTCTGGAATCATCAGGCTTTGCCGAAATGACAGCTCCAGTTCGTGTACTACACTGTTTGTTCACTCTTGCCCAGTGTTCGGGTTTGCATGTCCGGTTGCATGTCGTGCTTGCATCCAACACCTTACGAAGATGGGAAGCGCAACTGCAGCTGAGCTCTTGATGCGGTGCTTAGGTCACTTGATAACACCATTTCCAATTGAGTCGGAATCATCTATGGCTGTGCCGAAATGACAGCTCCAGTTCGTGTACCGCACGTTGTTCACTCGTTGCCCATGTCTGGTTTGCATGTCTGGTTGCATGTCTGTGCCCTTGCATCCAACTCACCGCACTGAAGATGGGAAGCGCAACTGTTGCTGGCTCTTGATGCGGTGCTTAGATCATTTCGATAACACCATTCAATTGAGTCGGAATCATCAGGCTGGTGCCGAAACCTGACAGCTCCAGTTTCATATACACGCACGTTGTTCACCTCGTCGCCCATGTCTGGTTGTATTCTGGTTGCATGTGTGCTTGCATCCAACACTGCACGAAGATGGGAAGCGCAACTGTTGCTGGCTCTTGATGCGGTGCTTAGGTCACGCAATAACACCTCTTAATTGAGTCGGAATCATCAGCTGTGCCGAAATGATAGCTCCAGTTTGTGTACTGCACGTTATTCACTCGTTGCCCATGTCTGTGCATGTCTGGTTGCATGTCTGTGCTTGCATCCAACACCGCACGAAGATGGGAAGCGCAACTGTTGCTGGCTCTTGATGCGGTGCTTAGATCATTCGATAACACCATTCAATTGAGTCGGAATCATCAGCTGTGCCGAAATGACAGCTCCAGTTCGTGTACTACACGTTGTTCACTCGTTGCCCATGTCTGGTTGCATGTCTGGTTGCATGTCTGTGCTTGCATCCAACACCGCACGAAGATGGGAAGCGCAACTGTTGCTGGCTCTTGATGCGGTGCTTAGATCATTCGATAACACCATTCAATTGAGTCGGAATCATCAGCTGTGCCGAAATGACAGCTCCAGTTCGTGTACCGCACGTTGTTCACTCGTTGCCCATGTCTGGTTGCATGTCTGGTTGCATGTCTGTGCTTGCATCCAACACCGCACGAAGATGGGAAGCGCAACTGTTGCTGGCTCTTGATGCGGTGCTTAGATCATGCAATAACACCATTCAATTGAGTCGGAATTATCAGCTGTGCCGAAATGACAGCTCCAGTTCGTGTACCGCACGTTGTTCACTCGTTGCCCATGTCTGGTTGCATGTCTGGTTGCATGTCTGTGGTTGCATCCAACACCGCACGAAGATGGGAAGCGCAACTGTTGCTGGCTCTTGATGCGGTGCTTAGGTCATGCAATAACACCATTCAATTGAGTCGGAATCATCAGCTGTGCCGAAATGACAGCTCCAGTTCGTGTACTACACGTTGTTCACTCGTTGCCCATGTCTGGTTGCATGTCTGGTTGCATGTCTGTGCTTGCATCCAACACCGCACGAAGATGGGAAGCGCAACTGTTGCTGGCTCTTGATGCGGTGCTTAGGTCATGCAATAACACCATTCAATTGAGTCGGAATCATCAGCTGTGCCGAAATGACAGCTCCAGTTCGTGTACCGCACGTTGTTCACTCGTTGCCCATGTCTGGTTGCATGTCTGGTTGCATGTCTGTGCTTGCATCCAACACCGCACGAAGATGGGAAGCGCAACTGTTGCTGGCTCTTGATGCGGTGCTTAGATCATGCAATAACACCATTCAATTGAGTCGGAATCATCAGCTGTGCCGAAATGACAGCTCCAGTTCGTGTACCGCACGTTGTTCACTCGTTGCCCATGTCTGGTTGCATGTCTGGTTGCATGTCAGTGGTTGCATCCAACACCGCACGAAGATGGGAAGCGCAACTGTTGCTGGCTCTTGATGCGGTGCTTAGGTCATGCAATAACACCATTCAATTGAGTCGGAATCATCGGCTGTGCCGAAATGACAGCTCCAGTTCGTGTACTACACGTTGTTCACTCGTTGCCCATGTCTGGTTGCATGTCTGGTTGCATGTCTGTGCTTGC